GCGACGACGGAGGGGCCGCGTGCCGGTCGGACCGCGGCGCCGTGCCCGTGAAACTGTGCCGTGCATCGACCGGGGATAATCTCTTCCTAGTCGGCGTCGGACGGGCGCCCCAGCCGTGCGAGTCGTAGGCACCCGGGCCGGGTCGGGTATCTAGCGAAACCACAGCCGAGCGTACGGTTTCGTGCACACGCGGCCGCGGCGACGACGGAGGGGCCGCGTGCCGGTCGGACCGCGGCGCCGTGCCCGTGAAACTGTGCCGTGCATCGACCGGGGATAATCTCTTCCTAGTCGGCGTCGGACGGGCGCCCCAGCCGTGCGAGTCGTAGCCACTCGGTCCGGGTCGGGTATCCAGCGAAACCACGGCCGAGCGTACGGTTTCGTGCACACGCGGCCGCGGCGACGACGGAGGGGCCGCGTGCCGGTCGGACCGCGGCGCCGTGCCCGTGAAACTGTGCCGTGCATCGACCGGGGATAATCTCTTCCTAGTCGGCGTCGGACGGGCGCCCCAGCCGTGCGAGTCGTAGCCACTCGGTCCGGGTCGGGTATCCAGCGAAACCACGGCCGAGCGTACGGTTTCGTGCACACGCGGCCGCGGCGACGACGGAGGGGCCGCGTGCCGGTCGGACCGCGGCGCCGTGCCCGTGAAACTGTGCCGTGCATCGACCGGGGATAATCTCTTCCTAGTCGGCGTCGGACGGGCGCCCCAGCCGTGCGAGTCGTAGGCACCCGGGCCGGGTCGGGTATCTAGCGAAACCACAGCCGAGCGTACGGTTTCGTGCACACGCGGCCGCGGCGACGACGGAGGGGCCGCGTGCCGGTCGGACCGCGGCGCCGTGCCCGTGAAACTGTGCCGTGCATCGACCGGGGATAATCTCTTCCTAGTCGGCGTCGGACGGGCGCCCCAGCCGTGCGAGTCGTAGGCACCCGGGCCGGGTCGGGTATCTAGCGAAACCACAGCCGAGCGTACGGTTTCGTGCACACGCGGCCGCGGCGACGACGGAGGGGCCGCGTGCCGGTCGGACCGCGGCGCCGTGCCCGTGAAACTGTGCCGTGCATCGACCGGGGATAATCTCTTCCTAGTCGGCGTCGGACGGGCGCCCCAGCCGTGCGAGTCGTAGGCACGCGGGCCGGGTCGGGTATCTAGCGAAACCACAGCCGAGCTGAAAATCCGATTTTTTTTTTCACTCGACGTTCACCGTTGATCGGCGGTACCGGGGCTGTGTACATGCCGGTAGGCCGGGCGACGTCCGCCGACACGATTTCGTATTCAACTTTTTCGATCGCTTTTTTTTCGTTTGCAATTACTCGGTAACGGTTAGACTTATCACGACGAGCCCCGGATGCGATCACGTCGTACGTTCCGAGTTCTATCAGGTACCGGCGTCCGTAACCTTTTAACCGGATTATTCGATATTCGAGGCCGTACCGCTACGCACGGTGATAGGCGATTCTACGGTCGCGGGGTGTCGGTCCACGGGCTTCCCGGTCGGGCCGTAATAGTTACCGTACGTCCCGCGACCGGCGGTTGGCTGGATCGTCGTGTGCGAAAATCCGATTTTTTTTTTCACTCGGCGTTCACCGTTGATCGGCGGTACCGGGGCGGTGTACATGCCGGCAGGCCCGGCGACGTCCGCCGACACGATTTCGTATTCAACTTTTTCGTTTGCTTTTTTTTCGTTTGCAATTACTCGGTAACGGTTAGACTTATCACGACGAGCCCCGGATGCGATCACGTCGTACGTTCCGAGTTCTATCAGGTACCGGCGTCCGTAACCTTTTAACCGGATTATTCGATATTCGAGGCCGTACCGCTACGCACGGTGATAGGCGATTCTACGGTCGCGGGGTGTCGGTCCACGGGCTTCCCGGTCGGGCCGTAATAGTTACCGTACGTCCCGCGACCGGCGGTTGGCTGGATCGTCGTGTGCGAAAATCCGATTTTTTTTTTCACTCGGCGTTCACCGTTGATCGGCGGTACCGGGGCGGTGTACATGCCGGCAGGCCCGGCGACGTCCGCCGACACGATTTCGTATTCAACTTTTTCGTTTGCTTTTTTTTCGTTTGCAATTACTCGGTAACGGTTAGACTTATCACGACGACCCCCGGATGCGATCACGTCGTACGTTCCGAGTTCTATCGGGTACCGGCGTCCGTAACCTTTTAACCGGATTATTCGATATTCGAGGCCGTACCGTTACGCACGGTGATAGGCGATTCTCGCCGAACCGCTACGCACGGTGATGGACGTTTTTTGATTTTCGCCGTACCGCTACGCGCGGCGACGGCCATATCCTTTGGGTCGGGTGTACCACTACGCGCCCATACCCCCGTCGCATGTTGTGAAACTCGAGATTTTGTAAATTTGTGAGCGGCTTGGTCGTCGGCGTTGAAGCCGGCGACCGACGTCCGCTCGCATACGACAGCAACGCCACGGGCGACGCCGAAGCCGACGCGTCCATCGCCGGGCACCGGTCTCTGCCAGTCTTCGGAATGGTCAGCAACCCGAGTGCCCGTCGACGGTATCCGTCCAAGTTTCGGCGACCGACCCATCTCGCACGCCGAGTGGCAAAACTCAACCGGCGTCGCAGGTCCTCCTACCGGTGGGCCTCCGACGCGCAAATCATTTTCTCTCGAAAAATTGATGACGACTCCCGCTACCGTTTCGCAAGTTACGAGCTCTCGACGCCAGAACATTCCCGCCGCGGCCGGCCATCGTCGCCGTGCCCGGCGGCCGCCGGGTCGAAGCCCCGGGACGACGGACTTCGCGTCTCGTCCCGGCTTCACCCACGATCTCGGCTGGGGGCCGTTACAAACCTGGCGAGAGGCGCTAGCGCGGTAATTCTCCGTCCTTCCCAAACGGACGGCGTACGCGCTAAACCCGACTCTCGTCAACGCACGGGTCACGTCGCGTCGGGCGCGCTCCCCGCCGCTCGTTCACGCGACCGCCGAAACACAGCCGTCCCCGCGTTCTGCGGGTGTCCGGTGCTCGGCGCTCGCGTCGACCGAAGCGCGGGTCAAGGGCGCCCGTCCGCGCTCGTAATCCACACGAACCGCGGTCGGTCGTTCGCCGTGACACGTCACGGTCGTTCGACCTTCCTCGGCGTCGGCTCGCCCACGGGCGGACCGGCGCTCGGACGCACGCGTCCCGAGGCGGGTGGGCGGTCCGCGTCTTCGCGGATCGCCGCCCCGTCACGGGCCGCAGTTGTTGTAAAACCGAGATCCCTGGTTGATCCTGCCAGTAGTCATATGCTTGTCTCAAAGATTAAGCCATGCATGTCTCAGTGCAAGCCGCATTAAGGTGAAACCGCGAAAGGCTCATTAAATCAGTTGTGGTTCCTTAGATCGTACCCAAGTTACTTGGATAACTGTGGTAATTCTAGAGCTAATACATGCCGACAGAGTTCCGACCGTCGCGGCACCCTCGGGCGTCGCGTGCGGGAGGAACGCTTTTATTAGATCAAAACCGGCCCGTCGCGGCGCGCTTCGTGCGCGTCCCGATCGCGGCCCGCGCAAAGACCTGGTGACTCTGAATAACTTCGAGCTGATCGCACGGTCTCCGTACCGGCGACGCATCTTTCAAATGTCTGCCTTATCAACTGTCGACGGTAGGTTCCATGCCTACCGTGGTTGTAACGGGTAACGGGGAATCAGGGTTCGATTCCGGAGAGGGAGCCTGAGAAACGGCTACCACATCCAAGGAAGGCAGCAGGCGCGCAAATTACCCACTCCCGGAACGGGGAGGTAGTGACGAAAAATAACGATACGGGACTCATCCGAGGCCCCGTAATCGGAATGAGAACACTTTAAAACCTTTAAACGAGGATCAATTGGAGGGCAAGTCTGGTGCCAGCAGCCGCGGTAATTCCAGCTCCAATAGCGTATATTAAAGTTGTTGCGGTTAAAAAGCTCGTAGTCGGATCTGTGTCTGGGCGGTGCCGGACCACCCTGGCGGTCCGTCGTGCCGCGGCCGGCCGTTTCGCGGGACCACGTGTCCCGTGGCGCGGTCGTCGTCGCGCTCGTCAGCCGTCTCGGGGTGTTAGTTACCGGCACGTCGGCCGGACGTATTGTCGGCAGGCGGACACGTGTCTCGTGCTTCCGGCGCGCCGCGCGGCCACGCGTCGCGCGGCCGTCGGGGTTCGACGACGGCGGCCGCCTACTCCAATCTTGCTGCGCGGTGCTCTTCACCGAGTGCCGTCGGCGGGCCGACACGTTTACTTTGAACAAATTAGAGTGCTCAAAGCAGGCTCAAATCTGGCGGGGCGGCTTCACGGCCGTCTCGTCAAAAGGCCCTGAATACTGGTCGCATGGAATAATGGAACAAGACCTCGGTCCCGCGCATCTCCGCCCTTCGCGGGCGCGCGAAATCGCCCTCCGGGGCGTTTCCGTGCGCGGGCCGCCGGGCCGCGGGCGCCAGTCGCCCGCGCGTCCCGCCGGGCCGGTTTTCGGGACCGGAGGTAATGATCAACAGAGACGGGCGGGGGCATTCGTACCGAGACGTTAGAGGTGAAATTCTTGGATCGTCTCGAGACGAACTGACGCGAAAGCATTTGCCAAGTACGTTCTCGTATGATCAAGAACGAAAGTTAGAGGTTCGAAGGCGATCAGATACCGCCCTAGTTCTAACTGTAAACGATGCCAGCTAGCGATCCGCCGAAGTTTCATTAACGACTCGGCGGGCAGCTTCCGGGAAACCGAAGCTTTTCGGTTCCGGGGGAAGTATGATTGCAAAGTTGAAACTTAAAGGAATTGACGGAAGGGCACCACCAGGAGTGGAGCCTGCGGCTTAATTTGACTCAACACGGGAAACCTCACCAGGCCCGGACACCGGAAAGATTGACAGATTGAGAGCTCTTTCTTGATTCGGTGGGTGGTGGTGCATGGCCGTTCTTAGTTGGTGGAGCGATCTGTCTGGTTAATTCCGATAACGAACGAGACTCTGTCCTGCTAACTAGGCGGGTAAACCCGGGTCGGCGTGGGCGCGGCGCTGGCGGTTTCGGCCGTCAGTGTTCGCGTTCCCGTCGGCTCGGCCCGGTATCCCCGAACGCGTTCGCCCGTCGTCCACGGCGGTCGTCGTGCGCGGCCGCGCCATCCGCGTCCCGGCGTTCGGCGGGCGTATGTCGGCCGGGGGGCAACCTCTGGTCGGCCTGCGTCCGTCTGGCGTCGGGCTCCGTGGTGAAGCGCGCCGCGTACGCGGCTGTCGCCGGCGGATCACGATACGTTACTAGGGCTACCGCCGGCTCCCAGGAGCTTAAACTCTTCTTAGAGGGACAGGCGGCGGACGAAAATAGCCGCACGAGACTGAGCGATAACAGGTCTGTGATGCCCTTAGATGTTCTGGGCCGCACGCGCGCTACACTGAAGGAATCAACGTGTGTTAACATTCCTGGGCCGACAGGCTTCCGGGTAACCCGCTGAACCTCCTTCGTGCTTAGGGATCGTGGCTTGCAATTTTTCCACGTGAACGAGGAATTCCCAGTAAGCGCGAGTCATCAGCTCGCGTTGATTACGTCCCTGCCCTTTGTACACACCGCCCGTCGCTACTACCGATTGAACGGTCGCAGTGAGGTCTTCGGAGTGGACGCGCGTTATTCGGCCCCCTCGGGGGCTGGGTCGTCGCGCGATCGCGAAGATGACCGAACTCGGCCGTTTAGAGGAAGTAAAAGTCGTAACAAGGTTTCCGTAGGTGAACCTGCGGAAGGATCATTAGAGACGGGCCCGCGGTACCGGCATCACTTGCCGGTCTCGCGCGCGCCTCATCCGACCCCGTGGCCGCGTGCGCTCGCGACCAGCTCGCCGACCGCCCGCGCGCCGCGACCCCCGACCGAGCGTCGACCGAAAGATGGTTAACGTCGAAAGACCGTACGGCCCAGCCGTGCGTCCGCGCACGGCGAGCGGCCGTAGAAGTTTCGTCGAAAAAAAAAAAACACGTCACACAGAGCGGCGGATCACTTGGCTCGTGGATCGATGAAGACCGCAGCTATCTGCGCGTCGTCGTGTAATCCGCAGGTTATACGAACATCGACCAGTCGAACGCACATTGCGGCCTCGGTGACCCGCGGGTCCCGGGCCACGCCTGTCTGAGGGTCGTATACCGGATACTCGGCCAGACCGATGCGCCGCCGGCAGGCGTCCGACGGCGGCGGGCAGTCCTCCCGGGGACCGTCCGCCCGCCCGTCGGCCGCTCCGGTGGTGCGAGATTGGCGGTTCGACCGGGGAAAGCCGCGCTCGCGCGGCCGCCTCCGGTCGTCCGCCCAAGTTGTGACGGCAAACAGTCACGGGTTCTCGCGTCGTCAAACGGCACGTCCCCGTCCGCCCGCAGCGCGAGAGCGCTGCCGGGTCGGCTGAGAGTCCACGAGACCTCTCCGGCTTCCGAGAAGCGGACGCGGACGGTCGCCGTACGGGCGGAGCGCGGACCGCAGGCTGCCGTGTAATGCAAAAAACAAACAACCGATACGTTCCGACCTCAGATCAGGCGGGACTACCCGCCGGATTTAAGCATATTAATAAGCGGAGGAAAAGAAAACAACCGTGATTCCCTTAGTAGCGGCGAGCGAACAGGGAAAAGCCCATCGCCGAATCTCGCCGCGCACTTTTGTGTCGCGGCACGTATGAGAGTTGTGGCGTACGGGCCGGCCCGTTGTCGGGGCGCACGTGACGGTCCAAGTCTCCCTTGAAAGGGGCCATGGCCCGCAGATGGTGCCAGGCCAGTAGAGGCCGTCACAGCGTTCCGAGACCGGACCGCGCCTTCGAGTCGGGTTGCTTGAGAGTGCAGCCCGAAGCGGGTGGTAAACTCCATCTAAGGCTAAATACGGCCACGAGACCGATAGTTTACAAGTACCGTGAGGGAAAGTTGAAAAGAACTTTGAAGAGAGAGTTCATAAGAACGTGAAACCGCTCTGTTGTAAACGGACAGAGCCCGCGAGTCCCCGCCGGGCGAATTCACGGTCGGTCTAACCGCCGGCCGGATCTTTCGCTCGGTTAGCGGACGTCGCGACTCGTTGAGCGCCGGCCGAATGGCCCGGGTGAAGTTCGTCGCGGCGGTCGCGTCTCGGCGTGACCGTTCGCGCCGAACCCCGGTGCTCATGGTCGGCTCGCTCGACGGCAAGAACCGTCGACGCGGCCCCGTCGCAGGCGGGGTCCCGTCGGTCGGCGACGAGTTTCGGGCTACTTTCCGACCCGTCTTGAAACACGGACCAAGGAGTCTAACGTGTGCGCGAGTCAACGGTGATCTTACGAAAAACCACGTTTGGCGCAATGAAAGTGAACCGTTTACGGTGCGGACGATGGCCTAGTGACCGAACCCACCGGCGTTCAAAGTCGCGCTGGTCCGCAGTCCGGGGGCGTCTCCGCCAAGTCGGCTTCGGCCGTCTGGGGGCGCACCCTTAGCGCACACGTTGGTACCCGAAAGATGGTGAACTATGCCTGGCCAGGATGAAGTCAGGGGAAACCCTGATGGAGGTCCGCAGCGATTCTGACGTGCAAATCGATCGTCTGAGCTGGGTATAGGGGCGAAAGACTAATCGAACCATCTAGTAGCTGGTTCCATCCGAAGTTTCCCTCAGGATAGCTGGCGCCGATGTGTCCCGCCCGTTCGCGGGCGTACGGACGCCGGTGGGACTCCGCGCTGTACGGCGCGGTAACAACACGCTCGTAACACGGAGGATGTCTCATACGGTAAAGCGAATGATTAGAGGACATTGGGGTCGAAACGGCCTCAACCTATTCTCAAACTATAAATGGGTGAGATCGCCGGCTTTACCTGGTACACCGCGTGAACCGCGTGCGAAGCCGGCGACGGAACCCTAGGCGCTTAGTGGGCCATTTTTGGTAAGCAGAACTGGCGCTGCGGGATGAACCGAACGCCGAGTTAAGGCGCCGAAATCGACGCGTATTCAGAGACCATGAAAGGCGTTGGTTGCTGATGACAGCAGGACGGTGGCCATGGAAGTCGGAATCCGCTAAGGAGTGTGTAACAACTCACCTGCCGAAGCAACTAGCTCTGAAAATGGATGGCGCTGGAGCGTCGTGCCTATACTCGGCCGTCGGCGGCATAGTGGGGCCGGCCGTCGCTCGCGGCGGTCGGTCCCGGCAAGCCCCGACGAGTAGGATGGCGCGGCGGTGTGCGTCGAAGGGCAGGTCGCGAGACCGCCTGGAGCCGCCGTCGGTGCAGATCTTGGTGGTAGTAGCAAATACTCGAGAGGGGCCCTCGGGGGCTGCCGTGGAGAAGGGTTTCTTGTGAACAGCCGTTGTCCAAGAGTCAGTCGATCCTAAGCCCGGGGAGAGATCCTCGTACCACGGGCGAAGGCGTTTTCGAATCGCCCTTGGGGCGAGAGGGAATCCGGTCCGTATTCCGGAACCCGACGCGGAACCGCTCCCTAGTGTTCGGGGCTCTTTTGTCTCGTCCGGGCAACCGGAATGAACTCGAAGAAGCCGTCGGGGGATCTGGGGTGAGTTCTCTTTTCTCTGTGAGCGTTGTACGTCCCTGGAATCCTCTAGCCGGGCGATAGGGACGCGAGCGCGAAGAGCACCGCTCGTTGCGGCGGTGTCCGTGATCCCCACGCGGACCTTGAAAATTCGAGAGAGGGCCACGCGGAGTCTTCGCGTCGGTTCGTACCGATATCCGCAGCAGGTCTCCGAGGTGAGCAGCCTCTAGCCGCATAGAATAATGTAGGTAAGGGAAGTCGGCAAAACCGATCCGTAACTTCGGGATAAGGATTGGCTCTGAGGAGCGTGGCGTGTCGGGTTCGTGTCGTCGTAGAAGCGTAGGCGGTTTTGGCGACACCCCGGCCGTCGCTTGTGTGCCCGGTCTCCGGACCGGGAACCTCGAGGCGGCCGCGGGCCCGTCGCCGTCCGCCGACCGTGGAACCACCGAGCTTCGGTCGCTGGCCGCGGCGCGGCCGGCCGTCCGCTTGGTGTCGGTTCGCCGTCGCCAGGCGGTCCGGCCGCCGCGCCGTCGGTCGCGTAGCCGGATCGACCGCCATGTAACGGTCAACTCAGAACTGGCACGGACCAGGGGAATCCGACTGTCTAATTAAAACAAAGCATCGCGATGGCCCGGGATGGGTGTTGACGCGATGTGATTTCTGCCCAGTGCTCTGAATGTCAACGTGAAGAAATTCAAGCAAGCGCGGGTAAACGGCAGGAGTAACTATGACTCTTTTAAGGTAGCCAAATGCCTCGTCATCTAATTAGTGACGCGCATGAATGGATTAACGAGATTCTCACTGTCCCTATCTACTTAGACAGTCATAGTTCGGTTGTCTCGGTGACCGAACACACTCGTTCGGATACGGGTAGTCTAGAAACTCTGGAGGGTCCGTCTAACTCGCAGAAGAGACACGAACCCGAGTTGAGTCCCACTGATAGGACTGAGATTGAAACCAAAAAGACAAAAACAGATGAAGAATCTGAGGAGACTGTTGGTGAACTAAATCACCTAGTCCACGCGGAATTGGACAACCTAAAAACAATTATTGAAAGCGACAGCTTGAATAAGCGAATAACAGTCACTATGCGTAAAGAACTTACGGGATCTTACAACCGTATCTGCTCGATCGTAAGAGACATTACGTACCAACACGCAAAGCTTGAAGGGGCTTATAAAGAAACAGTAAAAAACAAAAGAGAAAGGCCAAATAAGCCTAGCAGACCGCAAACAACCATCACAATTAACGATGATGATGATGATGATGAAACATCCACACCGCGAGTAGACAATGACAAATCTTATTCAAACGCAGTCCAACGTAACAAATCGGTCGCTGTACCCGCCAGGGTTAGTGTTCACGATGGAAGAGTTGGAAAAAAGAACTCTAAAACAAAACAAAGGTCAAAACGCCCAATGACACCGGCGGCAGTCACAGAAAACCCAGCGCCACAAGTCCAACAATCTACAACGGAAGGCACCTTCCAAGTAGTTGAAAGGACCAAAAAGCGAAAAGGTAAAAAGAAGACTAATATAGACCTGAATACAATCAGAAAACCACCAGCCTTGCCAAGGTTTATCCTAAAGGACTCCGCGACAAGCGAAGACTATCCTAAACTATGGAAAATGTTCTGGACAGTACTAAGGAATAACATTAAAAACCCAAGACTGGCGGTTCATAAAAACCGCACAAAAGGTCCAACCATACTAGTACCGGACAATAAGGACACCTTAGATGCCCTGAGAGATAATACCTTGGTCTTGGAAATTATTCCGAGAAAGCCACGGTTGACTCTTAAAGGCCTCGACAGCAGCCTTAAGGACGAGGAAGTAATTCAGGAACTGCTAGATTGCAATCCGGAATTGGGTCTAACCGAGACCGATGCACAGGACATCAGAGTGGCCTACCACTCTGGGCCAAGATCAGGGACGGTTACCAACTTTGTCCTTGAGGTAAGTCCTGAAATTCTTCGAAGAATTGAAGGAAAGAAAGCGTATATCGGCGGCATTCGATGCACACTGATTCTGAATCATTCAGTGTCACAGTGCTTCAAGTGCCAGAAATACGGTCATACGTCAAAGAATTGTCGTGAAGAAGAAATGACATGTAGAAACTGTGCTGGCAGCCATGACAGCCGAACATGTCAGATCAAAGAATTTAAATGTTGCAATTGCAAGGGCGAACATAAAGCATCTAGCGACAGCTGTCCTACAAAGACAGCCGCTCTGAAGCGCCTGGCAAAGCGGACTGACTTCGGCCAACCGCTTGCGACAGGAACTACAGATAAAGAACAATAATGAACGGCCTGAAGATAATTCAGGTCAACTTAAACAAACAAATGATCGCCTCCGAACAACTGAGGGACATATGTTTGAAAGATAAGGTTGACATCATACTCGTCCAAGACCCACTTATAATTAATGGCTACGTGACTTGCTTCGAGGGCTGTCGACAGATTCTGTCCGATGACAATCCCGAAGCTGCCATAATTATAACAAATAATAAAATCAAAGCAATAAAAATGGGACAATTTACAACTCGTTATATTGCGGTTGCCAGAATTGGCATCGGCCTCAGTAAAGACGACGTTGTGATAGTATCAGCTTACTTTAGGTATAACAAGCCCACAACAATGTTCACAGAACTACTGACCAATATCAGTTTGGCAAATAGACGCCTATTGATTGGTGCTGATTGCAACGGCCATTCCATAAGATGGCACAATGACTCCACCAATGCAAGGGGAAAGATAGTTGAGGAACTGGTCGATGATCAGGATCTCCGCATAATAAATACCCCTCAAGATCTAAAGACTTATAAAAGGCACGGAATGGGTGAGTCCAACATTGACATTACACTGGCCAGTACCTCGATCAACAGATCAGTAAGAGGCTGGACCGTGACCGACCGGACAGACAGTGACCACAGGACACTGGAATTCACTTTAAACCTCAAAAGTCCTAAAAGGAAAATTGAAAACCCAGGTACAAGGTTTAATACAGACAAAGCGGACTGGGACAAATTTAGACTCACGCTCTTGGGTCTAAAGACGAATATCCACGGCGATTCTGTTGACGAAATCGCATGCAGCCTAACAGAGGCTATTGTCCAAGCAGCAAAGCTATCCATGCCAACGCGTGGAGGGGCTAAAACTGGTATAACAACACCATCGTGGTGGACGGATGAACTCACTAAGTCAAAAAAATCACTTCAGAGAATCAGGCGAGAGGGCCTCCCTGATACAAACAGGCAGGCATATCAGCACCAAAGAAACCAACATCTGCATAAAATCAGACTCGCCAAGATGAGTTCTTGGCGCGAGTTTAGCGCAGACATGAATACTAACTGTTGGGGCAAAGCCTTCAGATGGGCTAAGAGTGGCTCACGGAAGAATCCGATGCCCACCACGGTTAAAACCAGTGCCGGGACTTATACCACCGACATTAAAGACACCTTAGATACGTTTCTCGAGGCCTATTTGCCCGAGGATCGGAATATGCCAAGTTTCATGCCTTATGACCACCAGGCAGATGACACACCTCCTGACAGTACAACTGCACAAGAGGTAAAAGAAGCCATTTGGAAAATGAAACCAAGTAGAGCACCAGGTCTGGATGGCATAACCGCCAAGATGCTTAGAATTGCATGGCCAGTCATCTCAGACTCCATAACGGATCTATATGAGAAATGTCTAAAAATTGCAAGATTTCCCAACTGTTGGAAGATCGCCAAGTTGGTGATCATTCCAAAAGGAAAAGGAAAGAACCCACTTCTTACGGGGTCGTACAGACCAATTAGTCTGCTACCAACTCTCGGTAAGGCATTGGAGTCTCTAATAACATCAAGACTAGAAAAAGAAACCGGACTAAACGAAATAGGCCAACAACACGGGTACGTCACCGGAAGATCAACCGAGACAGCCGTTAAAGCATTATATGACTGGACAGATCAGTGTCCTAACAGGATAATAGTTGGTGCCTTCCTGGATATTACTGGCGCATTTGACTACGTCAGATGGTCACCAATATTCGAACGATTAAAAATCCTCAGGATCAGTAAAAGAACGCTTGCACTACTTGAGAGCTATCTCACGAACAGATCAGCGACACTCATGTCTGACAAAGAGACCAGAACAAGGCAAATGACACGCGGCTGCCCACAGGGGTCGAGACTAGGACCGACACTCTGGAAGGTAGCGATGTCGGATGCATTCGAGCCTATAGGACACCAATCACACATGATTGCGTATGCAGACGATATAGCACTCGCAGTCGGGGCTGCAAGATTAGACACAGTCAAGAAAAGACTTAGTCAATACTTTGACCAACTCACAAACTGGTCAAATAAATTCGGCTTAAAATTCTCAATGGCAAAGAGCCAAATTATGACACTGAAAGGCGGGGTCAAACCCACCTACACGGTGCCATTTGGCTCAAACGCAGATGCCATACAGATTAAAGCTACAAAGACAGTAAAATACCTTGGAGTCATCATAGATCCGAGAAGATCATTTAGAGATCACGTCGAAGACATCTCAGATAAGTCAAAAGAAATGTTCTTACGCCTACGCTCCATGACATCAGCTAACTGGGGAGTAGAACAAAGCACGTCACTGATAATTTACAAATCGGTGTTCTTGCCCAGAATAACATACGCCGCCTCCATATGGCAAAAAGCACTAGAGCTCAAATGCTCAATAAAGACCCTAGGAAGCATTCAAAGAGATGCCTTACGAGCAATAACGGGCGCATACAGGACAACGTCAACAGCTGCACTTCAAGTCATATCAGGGCAACTACCTCTGGACTTAGAAGTGAAACGCTTTATTCTTAGAAGATCCTTAAAGACAAATGATATCACATATCAAGAATATGAACGGCACTTGCATGATCTGTTAGAGGTCTGGCAAGAAAGATGGAATACAGTGGATAAAGGAGAGTGGACATTCCAACTCATCCCGGACGTAAGAATCCGGTATGGATTGCCCCTTACTATGGATCATTATACGAGCCAAATGCTCACTGGACACGGAGACTTTCGAGGAAAGCTCCATTCGTTCAACAAAGCACCGGCTCCAGGATGTGCCTGTGGAAATGGCAGTGAAACAGTCAAACATGTTCTCCTAGCCTGCCCAAGAACAAAAATCCAAAGACAAAATCTGAAAAGAAAACTTCAACAAGAACAATGTCCTTGGCCACCATATGACGGGGCCATACTTACAAATAAGACAACATACGAAGCCTTCCGAACATTTGCTCGGGAGAGCCTCAAGCAAAGAACAGATCGATGATCCGAAGATCGCCCTGCGGTCTGGGCGGTATAAGAATAGGTCCGCAGTCTTGCCCGCTTGTCGTAAGAGGCGACTAAAGGGATGGCCAGTCGGGGCCGGCGTCTGGGACGCGGACACACCGAAACCTTCGGGGACTAGGGTGTCGGAGGTTTTGACAGCGACCTCAAGAAGAGCGTGTCGATCACTTCGGTGATGCCTCGGGGAGGCGTAGCAAAGGCTACCGAGCCTAACTCGGGGGTCGCGGCCACCGCGCCGGCAGCGAACGCCGCTGGTAAGGGCCCACCGAGAGCCTGTGGTACACGGACACGAATCTTGGAAGGATCACAGCCGAGGCTTCGGCCGACGAAGCTCGGTCCGACCATCTCACCATTGATGTGCTTTCCTAACGGGAGCGAGAATGGTACTTCGGGATGTGGGGGAGCCCCGCGGCGTTGAGCAATTGACGCCGTGCCCCCATACGACGGTCCCGCACCGTTAGATGCGTGGCCGACGGCGGTTTGGTTTCGAAGTGGCTGTTAGCAGGAGCTAATCATGTGGTTAAAAGACCAAGCTAGGTCTAGGGGAAAGCTGCCGAGTGAGACATCTCCTTAGCGCCCACCCAGCCTACCGGAGAGGCTATATGTACCGGAGGTTGCCCGTGACCAAAAACGGGAAGCAATGAGGATAGCTTGCGACCCAACCAGGGTGGCGAAGGGCACGTGCACGCCTCAGCCAACGGTACGGGCGCACTCTCTCCCGACTTCGGTGGGAACGGGTGTGCGCCCGGTGCTCGTGGTCCATAGACGACGCGCGGCCGGCTTGCCGACCGTGAACCTCCGCGGTTCTTGACTAGCGCACAGCGCTAATAAAAGGCCCGTGGTTGCAGCCGAGAGGCACCAAAACCTAGGAATATACATGTCCCTATCTACTATCTAGCGAAACCACAGCCAAGGGAACGGGCTTGGAAAAATCAGCGGGGAAAGAAGACCCTGTTGAGCTTGACTCTAATCTGGCATTGTTCGGAGACATGCCGAGGTGTAGCATAAGTGGTAGACCCGGACCAAGGCGGGCGGTTTCGGCCGTCCGTCTCCGGGCCGACCTTGAAATACCACTACTCGCATCGTTTCCCCACTTACTCGGTAGAGCGGAACGCGCGGTCCGGACGCGGGTGCGTTCGTCCTTCGGTCGTCGTCCCGTCGCGTCGTCGGTCTGCCGTCGGTTCGCCGGCGCGCTGCCGGCGCGCGGCGCGGTCGCCGTTCCGTCGGACTGTGCCCGTTTGTGCCGGGCCGTGGTTGATATTCCGGTAGCGTTAAGCACCAGCCGAGGGATCCGGGCGTCAAACCGCGGACCGCGTCCGTCCGCGTACGGCCGACCGTCAAAAGTCGCCGTCCGCGTTCGCGGCGTATCCGCGGGCCCGGTCCCTGGTGCGATCCGTATTCCGAGGACACCGCCAGGTGGGGAGTTTGACTGGGGCGGTACATCTGTCAAAAAATAACGCAGGTGTCCTAAGGCCAGCTCAGCGAGGACGGAAACCTCGCGTAGAGCAAAAGGGCAAATGCTGGCTTGATCCCGGACGCTCAGTACGCGTAGGGACTGCGAAAGCATCGGCCTCTCGATCCTCTCGTCCGCTGAAGAGTTTTCAGCGAGAGGTGTCAGAAAAGTTACCACAGGGATAACTGGCTTGTGGCGGCCAAGCGTTCATAGCGACGTCGCTTTTTGATCCTTCGATGTCGGCTCTTCCTATCATTGCGAAGCAAAATTCGCCAAGCGTCGGATTGTTCACCCGCTTAAGGGAACGTGAGCTGGGTTTAGACCGTCGTGAGACAGGTTAGTTTTACCCTACTGATGCAAGGTCGCACGCGATCGAAACCGCCTTTACGGCGGCAGTCGTTACGATAGTAATCCTGCCCAGTACGAGAGGAACGGCAGGTTCGGACATTTGGTTCGGCACTCGCCCGAGCGGGCGTTGGTGCGAGGCTACCATCCGTTGGATTACGCCTGAACGCCTCTAAGGCCGTATCCACTCTG